AAAACATAGTTTATTTCTTATTCAAGTTACCTAATTGAATAGCGTTAACTAATTGGAAACGGTTGGATTTTACCTATTATAAGCGTTACTGAACACCTCTTCTGAATGTCTACCTACTAATTATGTTCGAAACACGAATCTAGTTCAGTCTATTAATTAAATTAAAAACAGCCATGTACCTGTAATTTTCATTAGTTCGTGTACGGGGTTTAGCTAAAGATGTCAATGACTATAGTACAACAGACGGAAATTGAGAGTAGCGTAAACAAAAACAGTTGATATAAAGCGTATAGAAGTAGACACAGATCCAAATACGTAGATTTCGAAATGCAGAAGCTTGCTCTGGTATTGCGTCCTGCAGCCGAGACAGCGAAGGCCCGTCTTGTAACGCTTTCAGTTTTACTGCGCTATACTTTTAGGCCCAAGGGAAGTGGGCAGGGCTTTGAAAAGCTATCGCCCGCTAATGCATAAATCGTATGAAAAAGACCGATATGCCACTGACACCATGCTGCAGTTTAGTGGCCTCGTAAGAAGGAAAACGTTAATTGGCCTACTCCGTCAACGGGACTAGATGTATCCTACGCCTAGATGGGTGCCTGCAGGGGCACCTCGTTTGAAGTGAGCAACAACGAAACGTAAAAGGACGCAGCGTAAAAATATTGTTGACTGATGGTTGACGTAGAGAGATGCGCGCTGCTCGTTTGTTCGATTTGAGAAGATATTTTTGTTCTCACTCTCTCGGTCACCTTGGGACGGGGCATTGGATCAACGATAACAGCAAGAGTAACTGAACCAGGTACAGACTGCAAAACTTCTACCTTCCAAAACGCTTCCACGCAAATAGCAATAGACTAACGAACGATTCAATGGGTTCGCTGTCGTTCGACATTTTCTTTATGTACCGCTCCACCCAAACGGACGCACGACAAACGTCCCGTATGGGAACAATTAGTCGAGACGGACGAAACTGTTTGAAAGCGTTGGTTGTATAGTTCAGTCTTTTCGCCTTTAACGGCAGTGAAGTGTAAAACTTATTAGAGGATAACAACCTCACTTAACGGGTCCACATTTTTCCAACTATATTTACAAGTGGTTTAGTTATCTTATTCTGATACAATGCCACGGATTTAAGTTAGGCCACAGCTGAAAGTTACGAGCTTCCTGGAAAGTTTATAAAAGGCTCCTAATATGACGTTTTGTTTTTATAGTCCTCTCTTTTTTTTTTTTACTATCTTATGACGATGTTGTCAGTTTTTCAGACACCTCATGTACCCTCCTTCAGTTTAGGTGGTGAATGGGAATCGTGTTATAAAATATTACCGTTCATCCCCTCTATGAATCGGTTCTATCTCTATTTATTAATCTTTGATATCCGAACCGCAGTGCGCCTTTTCCAGGTAGTTGCGCGCCAATCTTGTAAGGCCCATTAAATTCAGCTTTTGTGAGAGATTGTAAAGTTTCAAAAGACAGCAACTCGTCGACTAATCAAAGGTAAAGGTTGTAACCCAGTATTACCCTTGACATGAGGCGGGATATAAGACTTAAATAAATAAGTGTGCTTAAATGTGACAACATTGTTTTTTTTCCTGGAACCTTTACCTCATTGTAACATCGCTCGCCTGGCAGACAGTATACCAGAATTAATCATTTCGTTAACTGTCGCGGAAAACGTAGCTAATAGAAAAAGGGGCCGGAACTCAGCAGAACATCCTTCTGGCACCAGTCTTACGTGCTTCTTACAGCTTCTCACAGCCACTCGTCACCGTATTATATGTACGGGGCCCGATTGTGCAGCTATAAGCAGAATAGCTATCATTAAGGTACACCCAATCAGGAAGACGTTGTGATTATTGTGAAGAAAAATGCCCTTTTTACGCTTGAGCACATTGCCTCAGTTGATCTTATCGGAAATGGACTGGCATACGCCTGAAATCCAAAAAGATACAGGTCAAGTTACACATACATCTATATAAACCGGTACAACTCGGACATAACTTAATTCTAGCAAATATTTGAGAGCGTTTGCGTATTCGTTGTCGTGGTCGAACTGGGCCAACGAGCTATTATATACAGCGCAGGAAGAATGAGCAAAGATTCGAGGAATTGTACTTTTACCTTAAGTAAAACGTTCGTAATCTGGGCACTACATTTCTGTAAAGTTTCTTGTTTTTTATTGTGTTGCATGCTATGATGGCCGTAAGTCGATGTTACCAGTGACTGAAGACGAGATCTTCAACATTGTCACTAAAGCGAACAGACTGCTCCGTGTTCCGTAAAAAGTACCTAATGGAAAAAAAAATGTGCGAGTATCACCTGAACGTAATACCATGCGACATATAGCTGCAGATGAAACTTAATGAACATAACAGTATTGCGTAAAATATCACGGGATTTACAGTGAACGTAGACAAAGTTT